TTAAACTCACTACAGAAATTACAAGTTTTCAAAAATTTTCACTTGAAAGCTCAGTTTTCTTCACTGGCAACAAATACCATCAATTGTTTTCCTTGAAGTGATAGACTATGTTCATTTTTGAGAAAATATCTAATGAGTATCCAAGTCTAAATAATCACAGTTTGCCAGGTATTCTCTCAAAAATAATGTTCTGTCAGAAAAGCGAGTTCTGCTCAAAACTCAAACAACTACAAAAATGCTTTCCCGTGAATCAACCACATGATTTTGGTATGCAGCAGGAATGCTTTACTTGTACTTCCCAGTTCATCAGACAGAATATTTTAAAAGACACAAGACTTTCTAAAACTAATCATTTTTTACTGCTTCATGAAGGATATTCTAAAGTGAAACTAGCATTATTCTTACGACATGCGCATGGTAGTGAAGATTACAATGAACACAGCAATGTGGTGCCACTGGAAGAGCTAGCAGGTTTGGGTTTTTTATAATTTTATTTATCTATTTTATTTTTGGCTGTGCTGGGTCTTCACTGCTGTGCAGGGTTTCCTGTAGTTGTGGCGAGAGGGGGCTTCTCATTGTGGGGGCTTCTCTTGCTGCGGCTCCTGGGCTCTGGAGAGCTCTGGCAAGCTCTGGCTCAGTAGTTGTGGCATATGGGCTTAGCTGTTCCGAGACATGTGGAATCTTCCCAGATCAGTGATTGAACCCGTGTCTCCTGCACTGGCAGGCGGATTCTTATCCACTGAGCCACCAGCAAAGCCCCAAGCCAACAATGTTACCTAGCATTAACTCTCCACCACCACCTCAAGTGTCAACATGGTAACATCTTAGAATGATTATGAAAATTGTTTGGACCTTACAGACTCCCTAAGAAGTCTTTAGGGACTCTAAGGGTTCACACTTTGAAAACCACTACTATCCAAACACTAACCACTTTTAAAATTCCTCTGTAAACAACAAACCCATGTGACTATCTAACCCAAGATGTAGAGGAGAAAACAAACAAGCCAACCTCTTAGAATAAGAAGTCTATGAACAATAACTGTGTGGTCGTGGAGGCTCAGAACTCTGCATTTCTGAAAACCAGACTGCCTGAGATGGTCCTCAATTTTTTTCTCCACATTCTCACACAAGAGTCTAGATGAAATCTGTGCCGAGCCTCAAATTAGAAGACAGAAAGCAAGCATGACAACAATGACACTGAAAAGATTTTTATCAGATGATAACTGGTTTAAGGTTTCTTAAAAAAAAAATGTGAATTTTCTATCATTTACTTCCATTTTATAGAAACTAAAATAAATCACTCTCTTTACCAATGGTCAAATCCTAACCATAATGCTGTATTTAATTATAAACACTATTTTTTTCAATAAGAAAATTTCACCTCCTCTGCTCATAAAGAATTACTAATACTACCTCCTGTATAGAATTGGGTACATTTCAAAGTGTTTCTGAACTGACAGCAAATCATAAAATTGTACAGAAGAAACAAGTATCTATTTTGTTCACCACTGTAAGTCTAGTACCTAGCTCAACCCCAGTACAAAATAAGATTGTTCAATAAACATTGCTGAATGTTGAACTGGTTAAAAATAAGAATTCATGGTCAAACTCCTAGTTTAACACCTAGTGCTCTTGCTAATATATGAAATCTTTCTCATCAATCTTATAACATCTCTTAGAAACCCAAAGGAACTCATACAATTTACCCTGAGAAAATATAACACTATCTATTGTACTTGAAATTACATTTGAAAGCCTGCTCTAGGCTAGATGTTTTATAAGTATTCATTTAGATCACAGTTCAAAACCAAATAGCTCTATCACTTTCATTTTCATATATCTACAATCTGAATTAAGCATTAATTTCCATTCCTAGATGAAGTGGCAGTAAGATACCACTCTAACTCAACACATTGATTCTACTACCTCACACACACTATACTACTTCTTTTTCTCTGATAATTCAGAATTGTTCTTGATTTTTTAAAGTTTCTTAGACTTATACCTGAGACACTATTGCCTTAAAAGAATGTGAAATATAAAGATGAAGGAAAATGTGTAGTACTTTTAATAATAATTGTCACTAACTTTTTCAATTTTTCCTGTCAGACTGACATTTGTCATTGATTCTCTTACAAAAGCATAATGTATAAAACTTTCAGTACTTGAACTATCTAGGTTTTTAGATTTTAGTTTTTTTAAAAAATTAATCAAATTTAAACTAATTAAGGCCAGTAAGTACAAAATTGCAATTCAATTGGGGAAATGGCATACATTTAAAGAAGCTAACAATTTAGGAATTGAAGTTACTTCAAATCGCATTTCATCTTGAAACACTGCTATGAACATAACCCCATTTTATTTCATACAATTACTCTGCAGAAAAACATGACTTACCAGGGATATTGTCAAAGGAAAAGATCTTCTGTTGCAATACAAAAGGATTTGAACTAGATAATCTTTAAACAAGAAAGACTGTCAGAAAGACTTTAAAGGGAGACCACAGACTCCATCTTCTCTGGAGGTTTAAAAGGAAAAGTTTTTCAAATGTCTGGGATTGGCTTAGACATAGCCTCACATTTGGCAACTGAGACAGAATCAGTTCAAAGATCAGTCTGACCCCAGGGACTGAAGTCCCGTCTGTCAGTCTCACAAACGAGTCATCAGCAAACTGCCTCCTTCTACTCTGCAGCTATCCAGTCCCTGCCGTGGTAATCGACAACGTCATTCTTGAAATTACCCTAACTGCTAATTAACATGTCAGTCATAGAGAATTATTTCTTCCAACTACTGAAACTTCTGCTCCTCCAAGTATTATGCAGTCCTTTAATTCTGTATTTCTAACATTACCAGAGAGGCAAATATTTTGTGGTGCAATCAATATCTGCCCTATTAACAATGCCCTGTTCCATTGTTCTCTCCAAACATGGAGTCCACTCTGCATTTCAGAAACAGTGGGAGAAAAGTAACAAATAACAGAGAAATTAGAGCTCTTAGGTTTAACTTAGGGCCAAAATCAAAAGAGAAGAGACAAATTCAGAGAGAGGAAGGAAGAAGCTGAGAGGGTCGTCGTGTAGAACACTTACTTTTAGGAACAGAGTGTCCCTTAGACTTCTGGTGAGTTGCCCAGAGCCTCTTCAGTTTCAATCCAAATGACAATGCTTCTCTGAGTCCTTCTCAAGAAATGTTTCCACCACTAAAAATTGGATCTATAAGAGCTCAGATGTACTGGTAAAAAATGTCAGGGGCCCCCAACGTGGGCCTCACACCTCTTTTAAACTAGGCCCACTTCTCTGTCCTGGGCCGACTCCCCTGTGCACTATATTCCTTCTTCTTCCAGGTGCCAGGTATTCGGCCTGTTTCTTCTCTTCTGAGCTGCCACCACCTACTCTATTTCTCAGGGTTCCTCTAACCCCAAGACTGGCTGTGGAGTAGGCCACCAGCTTCCCCCCTTCCTTGCTGTCCCTGCAAATAAACATACAGGCTCTTCTAGTTTCAGTATTTTTCTAATGGCCACAAGAACATAGAGAGGGAACAACAAAAACCAACAATACCGTACCAGAGATTAAGATTATAACTGTCTCCACATTAAAGTTCCTGCCTTTTCTTAACATTACTTATTGAGCATTTTAAAAAGTATGACATTGAAAAACAAATATAATCTAAGCCAAATCAAACCTTATATAAACTAAAAGGTATAAAGATACTTTGCTTTTCCAAATACTTAAATCACGGGTCCAAAAATAGCTACCACATTCATTTCAGCAAATGGGGCTTTTTCCTTTTTTGTATGTTGTTACATTCCCTTGAATTTAGTAGTTGTTCTAAAGTTTGCTTTTTAAAAGGTATCAGGAAAATACTTAACAATTTATTGAATTTAATGAGACTATACAAAAAGCATCTTATGGTTTACAAAAAGACAGATATGTCAAAAGCAGCTAGCTTCAATAAGCAAATCTTAAAATTTCAAGATTTTTTAAACCATTTATGTCTCTGCATTTAAAATTTAATTAGAATCAAGATATCTCATTTTTAGAATAACTTCTACCGAATATATTTCCCTAAGGTTAATATCATATAGCCCTTTTCAAAAGCAACAGTATATTGCATTAGTATACTCGTGATAATTCACTTTCCAAGAAACTTTAATCAAAAATATATGCCATCTAAATATCAGGCCACAAATCACAGCAACTAAAAGTGCTGGCAGTTCAAGAATGTCACTGACTTTGAATCTCCTGAATGATCTTCTTTATCCACTTAATACACTTAAGTGGTTTTTTAAAAGACTGTTATCATACTGTAAGCTGACAATGAAATAAAGACTGAAAATAGGCAGAGATCATTTTATCTCATTTGTATAGTATAATAAATTGCCATTTAATCAAACTAAAGATATTCAGATACTTTCAGGAAAAATGTGTCCCTATGACTGGGCTCACCTCCAACTATTTATTTATAAAACATTAAAGAACTGAGATTAAAACACTACACAAACCCCTGATTTGACCTTTCCAGAGTCTATATAAAAAAAGGAAGGTTAATCTATTGTGTATTCTCTAATCAGATACTTTTTTTCAGGAACGAAATTAAATTACATCGTTTGCTCCTAAAGAGGTTTTCATGGTTTTTCTCTGATTCCTACACACTAACACAACAATGCAGCCAGCATTATTTCATCCAGAAAATGTGGTGCGGATGGGGGGGGGGTGGCATTACACCCAGCGACACGAATTAAATCGCGGTAGAGTTAATGCCTCCCTTAAATAATTTATTCTCTCCTGGCAGCAAAAAACATTACAGCCTCTTCAATTACCCTCACCGCAAAGCATCGCTCGGGTCGTGATCAATCTGACCCAGTTCCTATCGCGGCCACCACCTCAGTCTCGCCTCGGCCCGCCGGGTCTGCCAGTATCCTGGGAGGGGGCGGCGGCCGCAGGGGCGTCCTCGGCGCCGGGACCCCGGGGGCTGGCGGCGCGCGGGGCAGGCCCAGGACTCACCGGGTGGAGGTGCCCTTCCGCACATCGCACATCATGCACTTGAAGGCCTCGGCGCTGTTCCGGAAGGTGCAGACGCTACAGTCCCAGTAACCCTCATCCGAGGACGGCTTCGGCTGCCGCTTCGGCCTGCAGGACACAACCCGGACACGACGCGGCGCGGGGTCACCAGCGGGCCGCGCCCGGGCCCCGCGGCCGCCCCCGCCCCGCCCCCAGCCCCGTGCCGCGACCCCCGCCCCACCGGTCCCCGGCGCGCCGGGCTCCCGCTCGGAGGGGGAGGGGAGTCAGGCAGGCGGGGGCGCGAGCACGGCCGCAGCAGGAGCCGCCGCCGCTGGACACCCGGGGCCGCCGCTGGACACCCGGGGCCGCCGCCGGACACCCGCGGCCGCCGCCATCGCGGCTCCATTGTGGGGCGGCCGGCGCCGGCCCTTCACGCGGCAGCGCTCGCTCAGCGGCGGCACCGCCCCCGTTCTCGCCCCGCTGCCCCGGCGGCGAGCGAGGCGGCCGCCCGAAGCCCGGCGCAAGGGCCCCGCCGCCCGCACAGTCCGGGCCCAGGGGCCCGGGCGCTGTTACCTGGTGGGGCTCTTCTTGTCTCCCATGACTTGGCTACAAACGCACGCCGAGAGTCGCCGCCGCAGCCGCTGTTTGTCAATAAGGAGGATAATAAGCCGGGCGGAAGCGGGCGGGGGAGGAGGGAGGGAGGGGGTGGGGAAGGCCGCACCGCCGAGCTCGGGAGCCGCCGCCGGATCCCACGCAGCCTCCAGCTGTCGGGGAAACTCCTGCCTGGGCCACGTGACCCGCGCCAGCCAACCAGCGGCCGCGCCGGAGACTTCAAACGCGGCCAGCGCGGCCCAGCACTCGCGGGGAGTTCGCCGGCGGCGGCGTGGGGGTGGCCGCCGCAGCCTCCGACGCCGCCGCCGCCGCCTCTCTGCCGCGAGCCGCCCGCTTCCCTTGGGCGTCCCCCGAGCCCCTGTGTCGGGGTTATCTTCTGCCATCCCGCCCGAAGCCTGGTCCAAGGTGGGCCGGCGTTCGGAGGTCAGCTCGGCTCCGGACCAGAGTGAGCGGCCGCGGGCTCCAGGTAGAACCGCTTTCCGGGCCTGGCGAGTCTCGGCGCGTCTGCCCCAGCCCGAAGGATCCCCAGGGGCAGGCGGGAGCCACCAGCGAACGCCATTGCTAGGTGCTCAAGCCACTTGGTTTTGTGCACACGAATGCTCTACCAAGTGAGGATTGTTGCCCTTACTACGGAGGAAAAGAAACTGAGGCTCAAGAGAGGTTAGGTGATTTCCTCTGTTACATAATTAGAAAAGGATAAAGCTAGGACTCTAACCCTGGTTTGATTGCGGATGCGCTCTTCTCGACTCCCAGTCCTCTACAGTAACTGCTTCGAAAAAACAATCAAGAAAACATTCATAAGACCTTTTTTTCTTCTTTTCAAATAACGAGCTTGCATATACCCTGAACGTTGTTAAGAAAAGAACAGTTTCAGAGGGTGGGCTGAATGGAGAGAGTAGCATGGAAATATACGCACTAACATCTGTAAAATAGAGAGCCAATGGGAATTTGCTGTTATGACTCAGGGAACTCGAACCGGGGGTCTGTGACAACCCAGAAGGGTGGGGTGGGTGGAGTGGGAGGAGAGACGGAGGCTCAGGAAAGAGGGGACATATGTATACCTATGGCTGATCCATGTTGATGCCAACACAATATTGTAATTATCCCTCAATTAAAAATAAATTTAAAAAAGAACACTGTCCTCCCAGGTCTGATGACCTCAGCATACTGGATGCCCTCCTGAACGCTGGCAGTTGCCATCCAACTAGTCTCTGAGCTCCAGCCCCCCCTCCTCAATCTATTCAGTAATTCACAACCAGATTAATAATAAAGTTCTGGTAACATTGTGTCCCCGGGCTGATCAAGAACTTTGCTTAGGCTCTCAGACTTGGCCTAATTTTTAAAAAAACACACACACACACACTCTTTAGCTCTATGTGCTGGCACTTTGTAAATCTCTTTACACAAATTTCGTGTTTTAAAGGGCTGGAAATTTGCACATTTGTACTATGCAAATGTTCTCATCAAATAGCCTAACTACATTTGAAAGACAAGGAATTTAGGAACCAGGTTAAATGTTTTCTTTAGTGAACTGGCCAGGTTAGAGCTCAAATATCCTGTCAGTCTTTCACCAAGTCCTGTTTTCTTTCTTTTCTTTTTCAATTGAAGTGTAGTTGACGAAAAAATATCAATTTCAGGCTGCAGCATAGTGATTCAATATTGTTATAGATTATACTCCATTATAAATTATTACAAGATAATGGTTATAATTCTCAGTACTATACAATATATCTTTGTCGCTTAGGTATTTTATCCATGTTAATTTGTGTCTGTTAATCCCTAATTTGCCCTCCCTGCTTCCCTCTCCCCTTTGGTAACCACAAGTTTGTTTTTTTGTGTCTTGTTTTCAAGCCTTACTTTTTGGTTAACCAAATCAAGTTTACACTTTACAGCCATTTCTGAGCTTCTTGCACCACCTGTATTTCTGGCAAGCATCGCTTCTTACAATTCACACCTCGATGCAGACACCCAGGAATTATGAGGAAGGCACACAGAGACCTAAGGCCTAGTCTTCAATCTCTTGGTAATGCAATGGGTAGGTTTAGGTAAGTCATTTCCTTTTTTCCATCTGTGAAATAAAGGGGTTAAAACTATTTTCTCAGTTCAGGTTCCTTCAGCTCTAAGGTATTGTGATGTTTTTAAATTTCTCAACTGGATATAATATCAATGAGATTAACAAAAACTGGCCTACTTGCAAAAAAGATGGCAAGATGGCAACAAAGTGTTTTTAAATCAAAAGAAAAGCAAATGGAGAACTCTGAAAATCCCCAGTGCTGCAACTCACCATTTTGCTAGAATATAGCATCCACCACTATGAAACAGTACTTCCCCGGGTGGATCAAATGGTAAAGAATCTTCCTGCAATGCAAGAGACCTGAATTTGTTCCCTGGATCTGTAAGATCCCCTGAGAAGGGCATGGCAACTCACTCCAGTGTTATTTCATGGAGAATCCCATGGACAGAGGAACCTGGCAGGCTACAATCCATGGGGTCACAAAGAGTTGGACACGACTGAACGACTCACACACACACACTATGAAACAAATTTCATCTCTGATTCATAAACTCAAGAAGGGTAGGAACATTTCTTTATTGTCTTCATCATTGCGTCTAGGATAGTCTGACACATAGTAGGCAGTCAATAAATATTCTCAGAACAAATACATTCACTTGTGTCACAATTCTACAATGAGGTATTTTTTCATATCAAGACTTATAGCCTGTTATGCTGAAATTTACAACAGCCCTTCAAACTGTACTTTACAACTTTGCAAAGTAGTCCTTGTAAAAGAACCAGAAATTCATTTTCTGGGGAGGACCAAAGCACATGTCCTTGTACTGTAACAGGTGCTGCCATTTCCTGCTGCTTCTCTTATAAAAACCCCATTCTGTACCAGGCTTCCATGGTGACAGTGACATAGGAGCTACTTCTTCACCACAAAAATCACACTTTTTTCCTTAACTGTGTCTTAACCTATCCGGCAGCGCGGCTGGTGGAAAAGAGTGGTGCAGGTTCTTACCCACTTACGTGTCCTTTTAGTACATCAACAGTGTTCAGCACTTTAAACATGCAATTCAGTAGTATCATTGGTAAAATGATAGAAGCCCTGTAACAATAATTTTTAACAATTTGACAATAAATTGTTGAAGTTTACTAATGATATACCTTTTAAAAATTAAAGTAATCCCTGGATTCCCTGGCGGTCCAGTGATTAGGACTCCGTGCTTCCACTGCAGGAAGACCAGGTTCGATCCCTGCTCAAAGAACTAAGATTCCGAAAGCCACACGGCACAGCCAAAAAATAAAAATAAAATATCCCTGGGTCATTGATAAAATAATCTTAATTTCCATTCTGTTATGCTTCTGAGAATGGTGAAGACTGGAGAAATTAATGAAACTGTGTGTGGGATCCCGCACACAGGATTCTGTTCTGTGTGGAGGTGGATAAAAAAGATTGAGTGCACTGGCTTTAGATCAGAAACTTGACTTTGGATCCCAGAGCCCCCAGGATGTTCTGATGAATTCTGAGCTTATATCATAAGACATGCATAACAACAGCAATAAAAAATGTGTATTAAGGTTTTATATATAGTTATTAGGCAACAGGAGCTAATAACTGAAATGAGGAGTGCTATCTTGCCTATCAACTGGAATTTGAGGGAAAAGTGGTATAAATTAGGCAGAAATAAGCTATAAACCCTCCCTGAAAGAATTCAAAATAAAGTGTAACAATAATAAGCTACAACTGTAAAACCAATCATACTTTAAAAGGTTGAAAGGTTTTTGTTTAGTTGTTGGTGTTTTTTGGTATTTTTGTTGGTTATAAAAAGTATATGTTACCAGTTGTGTTAGCTTCTAGGGTGCCAAGACAAAATACCACAGACTAGGTGGCTTCAGCAGCAGAAATGTATCTTTTCACAATTCTGGAGGCTGGAAGTCCAAGATCAAGGTGTCGGCGAGGTTGGTTTCTTCTGAAGTCTCTCTCCTGGGCTTTCAGAGGGCTGCCTTCTCTCTCTTTCTTCGTGTGGTCTTCCCTCTGTGTATGTGTCCTAACCTCATCTTCTCGCAAGGACACCAGTTAAATTGGGATAGGGCCTAACCTAAGGGCCTCATTTTATCTTAATTACCTCTTTGAAGACCCTGTCTTCAAAAACCGTCACATTCTGAGGTACTAGGGGTTAGTACTCAATGTGAATGGCAGGGGGCAGAATTCACCCCGTAACACCAGTGAAAAAGTTCAGCAAAGATTTTTTTAATCTCTCCATCCAAGAAAAGCTAATCTGCTGGTTCAGTAGCGTGAGGGGCACTGAACGTCCATTCTGGAAGTTTCATCTTCCAGTCCAGTAAAAGAACCATTGTTGTGGTCCCTGACAGAAGCATTCCTACCCCAGGAATCAAGATCTCCAGATCTTTAGAGTTTGATGTTAGAGGGATGGAAAGCAAAAACTCTGCAATCAGGATTTTAGGTAAAATAGTGAAAAGAGCCACTCCCGCTTCCATCCTTTTTATTCCACTCTAATCTGGCTATGGGAAGGACTGTACCACATCCTGGGCTCTGATTCTAAGCATGTGCTGCATTTTAAGATGTAAGATGTGGATGATGAAAGATGGGAAATAAACCACATTTTGGATATTGTTTTCAAACTGACTGAATCTTGAGTAAGCCACTCCACTGTTCTGTCAGGCCAGGTACTTAATCAGAACCAATGTTGTACAGAATAGAATGAAAATGAATAAGACATTTTATGAGTTCATGGATGGTGATGCCAGCAGAAGCATTATAAGAAGGGAGAGCAAATCTATAATATGTGTGTGTGTGTCTATATGTATAACCCAGTGAAAAGATTTCTGTCCTCTTCCATGAGGGAAGTAGTCCAATGTACTCAACAGATAGCTGGCTTGTCCCTCCAAGAAGGATATCAAATAGAAGGCCAAGTATTGGTTTATGCTGTTAACTAGTTAAGCACTCAGTGGTAATTTGGTAAT